CCTTCTGTAGGTTTCATGGCACAGTGTGTTCTTTTATCATTACTCTTTCTATCATCACCCATCTGGGATTTTGCCATTTACTTTTTTACTAGACTGTAAGCATCATGTGTAAGCATCTGTGAAGAAAGCTGACAGCTGAAAAATTGATGCTTTTGAACTGTGGTGTTGGAGAAGACTCTTGAAAGTCCCTTGGACTGCAAGGAGATCCAACCAGTCCATCCTAGAGGAGATCAGTCCTGGGTGTTCACTGGAAGGTCTGATGCTGAAGCTGAAACTCTAGTACTTTGGCCACCTGATGAGAAGAGCTGACTCATTTGAAAAGACCCTGATGCTGGGAAAGATTGAGGGCAGGAGGAGAAGGGGACGACAGAGGATGAGATGGTTGGATGGCATCACCAACTCAATGGACGTGAGTTTGAGTAGACTCCAGGAGTTGGTGATGGTCAGGGAGGCCTGGTGTGCTGCAATTCATGGGGTTGCAAAGAGTCCGACATGACTGAGCGACTGAACTGAAATGATGCATCATGAGGGCAGAACACTTCTTGTCTCCCAACATCTGATACATTATCTAGATTGAGTAGGGAGTTGCTAAACTGTGGTCATCTGTGGTTATCTCTTAGCTAGTTTATTTTCTTGAGGGCATTATTCATCTTACCATTAGACTATGGTATAAATCTTGATGCTCCAGCTTCTGTAATTCTAATCACCAAGCTTTGCATAAGATAAAAATCTCAAAAAATTTAAAAAATAATTTGAAATCAACAAAATAGTGTAATGTCATATGTGGTATACATTTGAAACTTTAAGATAAACTTAACTAAGAAAATAATCTTTAATCATATTTGGGCTATATGTTTGAAAAGTGTTATCAGTTAAAATATGTGGCACACGGAAAGACAAATAGCTGGGATTTTTTGGTTGTTGCTGCTGTTTATTAAAAAATACTAAAATTGATCTAAAGCACATTTATAATTTTAATTAAGGTCTCTGATTTTTACTGCAATTTTGCAGTTTTAAAAATACAAACCCTTATTCGATGTGTAATTTCTTTTCCAAATAAATATTTGTGTACATCACTGGTCAATAAACTATTTTTCAAAATTGAGACTGGTAATTCTCACTCTTATACTTGTCTGATAACTAAATTAACTGGGAAGTTTCTAAGGGCTTCCCTGATGGATTAGACAGTAAAGAACCTGCCTGCAATGCAGGAGACCTGGGTTTGAACCCTGGGTCAGAAAGTTCCCCTGGAGGAGGAAATGGCAACCCACTCTAGTATTCCTGCCTGAAAAATCCTATGAAGAGAGGAGCCTGGCGGGCTACACTCCATGAGGTCACAAAGACTCAGATACAACTAAGTGAAATTTTCTGCGATATATATTTCTGGACTTTAGCCTTGGGGATTTTAATATATTTCATCAGATATTTCTAATAATCAGGGAGAATTTAAACTCAATTCTCATGTCTTCTTGCAAAGTACTTTCCCCTAATTTTATACCTAAAGAAATTTCTGTTAAAGAGTTGACATTTCCCATTAATTTTTAGGAACAAAAACAGATGTGAAATCATACATTTCTAAAAGTCCCTGGATATGATAGTTTACTCTTATAAGCTTCAATACTTACCATCTCACTTAGATTTTAATTTCTTCTAAAATCTGTCATCCACTTGCGTATTAGAATCCGAAGCACAACTCAAGTGTTACTAAAATTTTATAAATAGCCGCACCTACTTGCTATGAGTTAAATTATGTCTCTTAAAAGAAGATCTATTGAAGTCTTAACCCCAGCACATCAGAATGTGACTTTATTTGGAAACAAGGTCTTTGCGGGTTTAACCAAGTTGAGGTCATTAGCATGAGTCCTGATATAATTGTTGCTGTTGCTTAGTTGCTAAGCTGTTTCTGACTCTTGCAACCCCATGGACTGTAGGTCACCAGGCTCCTCTGTCCATGGGATTTCTCAGGCAAGGATACTGGAGTGGGTTGCCATTTCCTTCTTCAGGGGATCTTCCCAACCCAGGGATCAAACCCGCCTTTCCTGCACTGGCAGGCACATTCTTTAGCACTGAGCCACCAGGAAAGCCCTAAAGCTATGCTATGGCTAAGCTATTGCAGTGTCTTTCCTACATTCATAATTTAAAGGAATACTAAATTTCAGATAGATATTAATGAGACTGGACACAGAATTTATTCCCAGCCATGACTAAGAATCTTCTGAATTCTATCCAGCGACCATTTGGGAGTTGGTAGGTCCTATGTAAAGAACTCACGGAAAGCAAAGGTTCTCTGACTTTATTTACAAAATTGCTTCTATTTCCCATTTGACAGAGTTGGGCTCTATTTGTGTGCTAGGTCTGTGAGTGCCACTCAGCATCTTGCTTCTGGTTTGTCTCCTGGAACTTGAGAAGAAAGTTAGAGACCACATATCACAGACTCAGCAGCTAAGGTTCAGTGTATGATTTAACATTAACAATCAGCATTTACATGAGATTTGAAAGAAGGAAGTGAAGCAGAAGCCATGTGGCTGCTCTTCTTGCTGGCAAGCACAGATGTGGATGGAGCTGGGTCCTTGCAGTCATCTTTCTCTAGCTCTAGGGTCCATCTAGTAAAATCCATACTAGATTCCTGAGTGCCAAGATGTAGGGTCCCAGTACATATCAGTGTTATACATCCTAGCAAACATGGCGTGGTTCTGGAGCTGGCAACAGAAGTAACACCCGATTTGTCTGTTTTCACATTGTGGGTGGCAGTGTGGGTTCCTGATCACGGGAGAGGCAGCAGGTCCCTAAGTGCTTGGGCTTGGGTGGATGGCTCTGAAGCCATTACTGACAGCTCAAAATGGAGTGTTTCCTCAGTCTTTGGCACACAGATGTAATGGACACAATGCTCTTCCTGCTTTAACTAGCTAGAGTGAATTCTGTGATCTGCAACTTAACTCTGACTCACAGACACTACAATTTATATTCCCTTCCATAAAAGATCCGTGTCCTGGAGAACTACTTCTGTCAGAATAGAAGCTTTTCATATATTCTTCCCTGAAATCTAGAATTCCAACTTCAAACACATCAGGGGCAAAATGCTGAACTGCCCACTGTTCTCTGATCAAAAATAAACATACTCAAATTCATATCATTTAAAGTACTACAGAAAATACAAAGAACTGTCCAAGAGTTTGCTTATTCAATTAGTTATGATCACTTTTTAAAGAGGCGGTCAATTCATGCCCAGTAAACAAAAAATACTGAATTGCCAGAGTAAAAAATATGCCGAAGTTATGTACCTATTTTTCTGTAAATGTACTTTAATCGGCCTGCTTGTTAAACCACTTGAGGATAAAGGCAATTTCTTTACTAGGATTTAATATTTAAACTTCAAACTGAGCCAGGTGCTATGCTAGTGTGATAACTTCCTTTAGTTAGGAAATACCACGAGGACGGAACTAGATGCTCTGTTATTCTGAAGGCCAGAAAGGAAACTGCAAATTATCTTTGAAAAGTTTTACTAACAAAATAAACTTGAACATCACCTCAACAACCTCAATGGCTTAGGCAAAATGAAATAAAAAGCAGGAAAATTAACAGGTGTGACAAAGGTCTGCAGGTCCTAAACAGCTCAAAGTGATAATTCACTGAAATTCCTAGATTGTATTAGCCATGTTTCTTCTTATGCGATAAATATGTGTGCCTTTGTTGTTCAGTCTCTAAATTGTGTCCGACTTTTATAAGAATATATACATACAAAACCCACAGGGGAAAATGTCCTCCCTTCACTGTAATTCTGGGATAGAGAGAAGGCAATCTTTTGGAAGTTAGAACTTTCAATACAGGGAATGTACTTGTATTTCTTATTTTTACTATTATATAAGAATACAGAATACGATTTTTTACCTAATCTCTCTGAACACACATTTAAGTCTCTGGAAGCTGAAGGCAAGCCTGTATCAGGAGGATAACTGTCACTTTATCAAAACCCATTTGGCAAGCCTCTTCCAGAGTCAAGTACATCTCAGTCCTGTCCAACTCATTGCGACCCCAAGGACTGCAGTTCGCCAGGCTCCGCTATCCATGGGATTCTCTAGGCAAGAATACTGGAGTGGATTGCCATGCTCTCCTCCAGGGGATCTTTCTGACCAGGGTCTCCTGAACTGCAGGCGGATTCTTTATCGTTTAAGCCACCAGAGAAGCCAAACCCTTTACTTATGCGCAATTCCCTCAACAAACAGAAAACAAATGTATTTAAAAACCAACCCGAGCATAAGCAGTAAAGCATAAGAAATGCAGATCTAGAAAGCGAACACTGTTTGCCAGTTTAATAACCTCTGAAAACCTCATTTGACTGTTGCGCTGCACGTCGCCTTTCTGTAATCTTTTAAAGTGAAAAAAAACCTTAAAACTATTACATATGTTCATTACCTTTAATACTAGGCGATGTCTTAAAACATCAACTTTGTGAACTTTAAGCTTGAGCTATAGGTGGGTGATTTGAAGCGTAACGTGGCTTTAACAAAAAAAAATTAAACTTTGTAAAATACATTAGAGAAACTCTCTGGGCCCCCTTCCGCAGCCTCAGAATACAGGTGTGTCCCCAGGTCACTGCCGCGCTCGGGCGGTGGGAGCCCGGGGAGGTAGGCGCGGCCGCAGCCTCCATGTTGCGGTCGGAGGAGACTCGGGACAAAGCCCGGGTCTCCAGGAAAGGTGTCCCCGCCTCAGGGCTCCCTGCACCCGCAGATCGCAGATCCACAAACGCGCTGGGGCCTGTGTATGACCGCAAGAGAAACGGAACTGCAGCCCGCTTCCCACCGGCCGCCCGGCCCCAGCGGAGCCGCAGGGTCCCCGCTCGCCGGCGCCTGCCCGGCCCTCTCCCACCTCCGGGCACAAAGAGGGATCTCCGGGCGGGCCGGCCCTCCCCTGGCGGAAGCGGGCAGGTCGAGGCGCGGGTCGGGAGCCCGCCGCCGCCCCGACCAGCCCGGGGCTCCGTGCCGCCGGCTCCACGCACTTACCAGGAGAAGCAGCAGCGCGCCCTCCGCGCCCCGCGCCATCGCGCCTCCGCCGCCGGCTCCCAGTCCCCGCGCGCGCGCGCGCCGGCCCCTCCCTGGCGCCCCCGCCCCGAGGGTCCCCTCCCAGGCGGCGCCCGCACGGCCCTGCCCAGAGGGCGGCTCCAGGTGTGGCCTCCGCGAGAAAATGGAGCCCGGAGCCAGGCCGAGCGGCTCGGGCCGGGGTGGGAATGGCGCGGAGGAGGGAGGTGCCCGGGGGACGCCCGCCCCCCGCCGCACGCGCACCTGGAGCCGTGACGGCCCCGGGCTGGGGACTCCGAGCGGCCGGCCCCGCCCCGCCGCCTCCCTGCCCGAGCCCCTCTCCGCCTGGGGCGGCCGGCTCTCTACGCCCGGGGCCGCCGCGGGGACCGTGCGCTGGGTGGCCGCGAGCGGGGCCCAGGTGGCGCCGAGGAGAAGGACGAGCGACGCGCGGACCCGTGTCCTCCCTGCGTCCTCCGCGCGGCCTGCTGGCCGGGGCCAGCTCCCCGGGAGCGAAGGTTCTGGAGCCGGATTCCAGGGGTGGTCTCCGTGAAGGCGTCTCACGTCCTTCCCACGGCCCCTTCCCACAGGTTTGCCGCGTGTCTGACTCAGGGAGAAACAGTTAATAGAAGAATCACAAAGGATCCCAAGGAACGGCTTTTTTTTTTTTTTTTTTTCCTTACCCCTTGTTAACTAACCTCGACTGGGAGAAAAGTCTAGAAGGGTTTAGGGAAAGACACACTCTTCCCTATATTTACAAAATGACAAAGCGTCACTAGGGGTCAGAATCCTCTAGCCCATAGTTATTTAGCTGTGTGACCTGGAGAATAGATACCACCCACCGCATAGAGGGGACTACCCTCATAGCTCAGTCGGTAAAGAATCTGCCTGCAATGCAGGAGCCCTGGGTTTGAGCCCTGGTTCGGGAAGATCTGCCTGGAGAAGGAAATGGCAACCCACTCCAGCATTCTTACCTGGGAAATTTCATGGACAGAGGACCCTGGTGGGCTACAGCCCACACGACTTGGCTACTCGACCACCAGCAAACAGGGCTGCTATGAAGATTAAATCAGAAAAATCTTTATGATGCATTCTATAGTGTCTAGCGCCTAACGCACCGGGTTCAACTAAGAGTGATAGTACGATTACTTTTGCAAGCGTAAATATTAAGTTGAAAAGTCTTCTTGAAAAATAGAAGCTCTGGAATAAGCACCAGATTAGGAGATTTATAAGAAAGGCTAATTATTGACACTGACCTATTGGAAGAGCCTGTAATAGTATAAAGGGTTGATTTGCTACTAGAAAGAGATGTTTGGCATCAAAGCTGATCGACAAGGCAGAGTTCCCTTTGTGATTAAATGTGCCTCCCTCTCTCTTTGCCCAGGGTCTCCTACTTTCTTTCTCCTTTTCTCCTCTTGCCACTTTTCAAGATCCAGTACAATGGCCTTAATCCCTTTCTTCCTCAACTGCGGAGGACCACTCCCTCTTTGAGCTGAGAACCACCTTTTACTTTCTTTGTTTAGGGATTAACTGGCCGGTAACTTTTCTGATAGTGTTACTTAACTGTCAGCTAAACAGAGGACTGAATGTCTAGGAGTGTCTGCTTAATTTTTCACTCTGTTTGCAGTGCCTAGAACAGTGCCGAGAACCATGATAGCCTCTCAATAAATACTGGTCACGTCGTTGAGTCAGGAGGGAAGAATGTCTTCTAGTTTCCACACCTTTTTCTTTGAATTACTGTGGATGGTAACCTTCGTGATAATTCTCATTCCCCCTCATTGCTGGGAGGATTCCTAATTAAACAAGGCAGACTTGACCAAAACACTCTCATATCATCCCTGGAAACTATACATAAGCCCTACCCAAAATGAGTGCTCTTGCAAATGAGTCCTATAGGCAAGTATTTATGCCTCATTATCTAGAATTTGATCTCTGTTCAGTAATGAAGATAATTGTAGCTTCCAGAATGAGAAAAGCTAATGCAAATTGTATTTCTCTTGGATTATTTACTCTCCGCTGGAGGCTGTCAAAGGCAATTTAAGGATAATGTTCCTCTGTGAGACATGTATTGCAAGGCTTTGAGAGAAGATGTACAATCCAGTGCCGCTGGATGACATTCTTGAATTAGCTCCTCTTTAAAAACCTATGACTGAAACCTATGACTCAGTGAGCTGAAGGCACTTGGAAGTTAGATCATACACAGCTCATTCTCTCACTCCTGACTTCTTTCTGCTGGCATGAGAGTCAATCTATTTCAAAAATCTCTTTGTACAACATCAGATGCCATTACCAATGACGTGCTGATGGTTTTAAAATGAATTAACAAGATGTGAAAGATTACTTGCAGGTTTTTCTTCCTCTAAACTAGTTGAACGTTATGGTAAATATACTTTTCTTAAGACTTAATTTTCTTAAGACATACTTGCAATACATCAGTTAAAAACTGTACCTTGTGCAAATAATTGGCTTTAACATTTATATATATTCAAAATGTCTGTGTTATATTTCCCAGCATATTTTGTCTCACATGTACACATAGGTGATTAGCTTATTAGAATCATCTCTTAGTATTATCTAAAACAAAAATGTTATTTAAAGAAAAAGACTTCATAAAGACCAACAAAAATTAACATGTCCCCTTTCTACCATCACCTCTTCCTTACTCCCCACCCACTCCAGCATTAAAAAAAATCACTTTATAAATCATCATGATATAAATGGCTAATGGTTTGATAGATGATTGATTATTTAGTTCCATTGAAAATCCCAACGAGTGTATGTATTAGAATTAACGTCTAAGAGGTACATGCTGAATCTGGTGCTATCCTACAACATGCCTTAGAAGCAAAGAACAGAAATGTGTGGCTGTTCCAACATAAGAATTGGTTATCATGGCTGGGAGGCTTACTCATGTGTCATTGATTAATAAAGGGTATGTGTAACGGGGAATATAGCCAATATTTTATAATAGCTATAAATGGAGCATAGCCTTTAAAAATTATGAATCACTGTAGGGTATACCTGTAACTTATATAACACATCAACTGTACTTCAGTTAAAAAAAAAGGTTACTTGGATACAGGGAAAATTTATGACATGCATCTAGGTAAATAAAGTAAGAAAGGTGAAAAAAGGAGGAGATTGTTTTCTGGTTTAGTTATACTCATTTGTTTCTTCATTTATTCAACACTGAGTTTGTTTGCCAAGCATTTAATTTGCATTTTATTGGCAATACCAATAAGTAATCCAAGAAACAAAAATAGACGCTTATGAAATAGTGTAGCTATAATTAACATAAACTTATCGATGCAGTGGTAGAACTCTTTGCTTGGTATGAAGCAAACAGAGGGAAGGGAGTAGTGAACTCACGCTTTGGTTGGTGAGGTTGAGGTGGAGTGGTGTGGTGAGCTGGGTCTTAAAGGATGAATAATTGTAAAGGAGACATGACACCAGTCAGGATAAAGTCACTCAAAGCATAAATGCTGCTGGTGAAGAGTTGGGGATTCATGAAGAGTCAAGAGTTTCAGATTTATCTGAAAAAAAAAAAAAATTTTTTTTTTTTATCACATTGACAAAATTGAATTTGAGATATTAGAGCAGTGTCCCATGAGAAAAGTCTCGCAAGTAGTTTGAAATGAGAATACAACTACAGGTCGATTTAGGAGGCAGAAAAAGTTGCCTAATTTTCTTTCTCTTTGGCTGTTGTTTCTCAATACATTTCTTATTCTTTGCCTACCTGCTAAATGCTTACACCTCTTGAGTTCTTTCCTTTCCATCTTTTCTTACTTGGTACCCAGCCTGACTCTGTAGCCATTCCCATTGTGCAAATCCTTCACAGCCTTCTCTCCTGAGCTTCAAACATGGGACATTACCATTTGGATGTCTCATAGGGATCTCAAACTATCATCCTAACTTTGTGAAAGTCGCTCATTCATGTCTAACTCTTTGCGACTCTATGGACTACACAGTCCATGGAATTCTCCAGGCAAGAATACCAGAGTGGGTTGTCATGCCATTCTCCAGGGTATCTTCCCAACCCAGGGATCGAACCCAAGTCTCACCCGTTGCAAGCAGATTCTTTACCAGCAGAACCACCAGGGAAGCCCTCACAGAATACTGACAAACAGCATACTGTTTGTCTCAAACAGCATACTGATAAAAAAGATTTCCCCATCCCTCTACACCTCTCCAGCTCAAGCTTGCTACTTCCTCCTGTGCTTGGTCAACTTGACCACTCAAGGTGGGCACCTGAAAGTCATTCTCAATTCTTCTTGTTGTCTTTTCTTCAATTATTGTACTTTCATTCTCTGTGGCTCTGTTCAAGATGATTCACACAATGTGCATCACAGCATCACACTGTGATGTATGGTTAATTCATTGATGTCTGCTGCTGTGATGCCTTTTCTTCCCCAAGATGGTTACTTCTTTAAGAGCAGAGGCTATATCATATCCGTAGTGGGCCCAGACTTCCGTATCCAGCACATATAAGATGATCAATAAAGAGTTGTTGAACCAAGTTCACATGGAAGGGATTAATTACAAGTGAAAAAAGAGCATTATAGGGGCAGGTATTTGAATATATCCACTCTGGGTGTATTAATAGTGGATCTGGCCAGAAAACAGTCTGGGATTGTGTGGAGGGGAGCTATGCACATGCATACAGGCATGCAGACATACATGCAGGTGTGTTGGTGGACGTTTGTGTGTTTCCCCCAAGGATACTACAGTCGAGGAGCAGGAGAGGAATGGCAGATGGTGGGTGTGAGTCAGAGTTTCAGAGTGGCCTGATTGATAGAAGTGTAAGTGTCGGATGTGGTGTCTCCAGGGTTGAGTGTGGCAGGAGGGGTTTGGACAGAGCAAAGCTGAAGGAGTTCAGGCACAGGTTGAGAAGAGAATGTGTTAGCTGGGGGTGGAGAAATGGCAAGGGATTGTCCACCCGCTTAATCCTGGAGAAGGAGTATGGTCCTTTTCCCCAGAAGCCAAAGCAGGAGTGACATCACAGACATTAGGTGTCTGGGTATTGAAATTTTCATGGCTTAGCTGAACCAAGAACCTTAGGCAGTGAGAGGGGAGAACTGGGTGACTTGCAGGTGGGGGATGATCTCTTAATAACAGGGTGGGAAAAAGCTTTGCTGCTTTTCTGAGCTGGGACTTGCAGAGTAATAATCAAAGCCCAGCAGGCTGCAAGCCCCATGGTCTACTGTAGAGAAACCAGCATGTCCTTCGTGAACAGTCACCACTGTGTATGGCAGCAGCAGTCAGCCCTGGGAACACAGCCACAGACGCCACACCCCGCCCGAGAGATAGAGAGCCGCAGGTGGTGAGTCATGGGCTGTAGCTGAGCTGTTCACCGCAGGCTCCTCCTGTGAGTCAGTAGATGAGGACTGACTCCTTGCATGCAAAGTTCTGAACTGGAATGACTTCAGGAAATTGTCAGCGGTGTTTGTGGACCAGGGAATTAGAGGAAGACACAACAGTGGCAAAATGAAGACTTGACTCAGCAGAGAAAACAAAGTTGTCTGTTTTGGGGTCTAAGTAGAGTGCTAAACCAACATCATAAGAGATTTTTTTTCGAAATACATCACACACTAGTTTTACAAGGTGATGAGACTATAGTAGTCCTAAATTGAGGTGTGTCTAAAACAGGGGTTGTCTAGAAAACCTTGGCAAGGTCTTGATGGCCCATTAGAATGCCTCGCCCTCCTAAGATCTGACATCCCTTAGCTGAAGGCTCCCTTGACTGCTCTGTGCATATTCCTGGGAGGGTGGCATGCTGATCCTTCTCAATCATTTACATCATAGCCTGACACCACAGTCACACCAGGCAAGCTCCACCTGAGAGCCCTTGTCCTCTCTGTTCCTTTTCTCGAGAAGGTTCTGTTCCAGCCACATACAAGGGTTACTCCCTCGCTCTTCACTTCTCAAATATTCGTTTCTCAGTGACATCTTCTTTGGCTACTCGTATAAAAATTATAATAAAACTCCCACCCCCAAAGCTCCCCACCCACCTTTCTTACTTTATTTTTCTTCTTTGCACATTGCAACTTAAAAGGCTGTGCATTTACTTATTTATTACCTGTCACCGTTCATTAGAATGTAAACTTCCTGAAGGCTGAGGTCTTTATCTGTGAACTGCTATGGATTCTGGTGGGGACTTCCCTGGTGGTCCAGTGGCTAAGACTCGTTACTCCCAATGCAGGAGGCCTGGGTTTGGTCCCTGGTTGGGAAACAGAGCCCACATGCTGCAACTAAGACCCAGCACAGCCAAATAGATGGGATGGTTGGATGGCACCACCAACTCAACGGATGTGACTTTTGAGTGAACTCTGGGAGTTGGTGATGGACAGGGAGGCCTGGCATGCTGCATTCCATGGGGTTGCAAAGAGTCGGACACGACTGAGCGAACTGAACTGAACTGAACTGAACTGATGGTTCTGGTGCTCCAGATGGTAAAGAATCTGCCTGCAATGCAAGAGACCTGGTTTCGATTCCCAGGTGGGGAATATCCCCTGGAGAAGGGAATGGCCACCCACTCCAGTATTCTTGCCTGGAGAATTCCATAGACCTAGGAGCCTGGTTGGCTACAGTCCATGGGATCGCAGAGTCAGACATGACTGAGTGACTAATGCATACAAAACTTAGATTACTTAAACAGTGCTTGATCAATTATAAGTCTTCGGTTTATTCTAGTTGAATGTGTGAATGGAAGAATAGCAAATATATTTTCAAGGTTATTTTGGAAGAAAGTATGTGTGTGTGTGTGTGTGTGTGTGTGTGTGTGTGTGTGAGACAGTGTACGTGTAAAATGAAGAGAGACTAATATTCCTGGAAGGATGTAAATCTCACCAAACTGAAGTGGGGGTGTACTGGAAGGTCTCCAGTACCATGGACAACCTCCCCCTACCATGCAAAGTTAGCCCGGACAAGCTTGCTAAGGCTTCTTGAACCATGTCAAGCTGGAGGAGTTCAGAGGCCAGTGGAGAGTGTTTCTGTGTTCTTCCTCTTCTGCGAGACTCCCTTCCTTACAGGGGGGACAAAGTGCAAAACCATAAACCACATGGAGAATCCCTTTTCCCTCTGGAGATGAACAAAGCTAGCATTCATTTCCAGAGCTGGCACTTGGGAATGTTGATTTTATCTCCTCACCTATGTTTTCTGAAAAAATCTCAGAATAAATCTCTAGTTTTGATTTCACCTTAGGGTTTGTTTATAAGAATTCTTGGAAAGATAAGGGAAGTGGCTGGGAAGAAGGGGGGAGAGTTTGGTTGTTAATAGCAGCACTGAAGTGGTGTCCATCGCCTGTGAGATGCGAGCTGTAGGGCTTATGGGCAGTATAGGAGTGTTTACTCAGAGTGTCAGACGTGTTGACCCAAGTGTGACTGATGAGCCTCCGAAGGAAGACCCACCAAAAAAAAACCCCTCAGGAGACAGAAAAGAATACTGGTTTCTCAGCAGTTACTTCAGTCATTCACAGGTGGACAAGTAACATTCTTGCATATCAAGAAAAGATGAGAAGGAAGTGATATAATGGCTTTGGAAAAGGTGGATGTAAAATACTGGCTTTGAAGATCTGTTCAAAGCAGTCCAATGGATGATTATAAATAGCAGAGAGCAGAATTTCAAAAATAAACAATTTCCATGTTAAAGAGAAAGCAAGGATTTAGAGAAATTAACTCATTTTGATTTACTTTCCGAACTAACCATGTTGGTGTGACTTGTTAAGTATCAAGTTCTGAAATCTGTGATTGATTTACTTGTTATAAAATGATTAGAGCACATTTAAAGTTATTTAGTAATGATGTTATTTACTTACATTTTTGACATCCCCTCAAGTGGAAAAGGAGGCTTGATTCCAGTGGGGGAGGCAAACGGTGCCCGAGGGTGAACTTATCCAAGGGAGGGTGTGACCTTGTGAAGGTCATTTGTCACACGTTACACAGAATATTGGGAACCACTGCTCCGCAGAGCATAAGTTAGGATATTGTTATTCTTGAATCCCAGATTTGATATTATGAGTGCAAATTGTTTTTATGCAGTAACTTTATAACAAAAATAACTGAAAGTTTCTTAATATGATAAATAATAACTTAATTAACTCACATCTATATGTGCCCAGGGAATTGGAAAGTTGGAGCGGTCCTTTAGCTATCATAACAGAAGAAAATAAAAATGTCCCTGGTGCCTGGGCATTTTAGAAAAGTGTTCTTAAAGCTGTTCTGCTTGAACTGTACAGTTTTTTGTTTTGTTTTGTTTTTGCAGTGGACTTGGTTTGAGTTTCAGACTTCCCTGGTGGCTCAGATGATAAAGAATCTACCTGCAATGCAGGAGATCCAGGTTCGAATCCTGGGTTGGGAAGATCCCCTGGAGAAGGGAATGGCTACCCACTCCAGTATTCTTGCCTGGAGAATTCCATGGACCCTCGTAGGCTACAGTCCGTGGGGTTGCAGGGAGTTAGATGTGACTCATTTAGTTTGAGTTTTATCACCTTCTCTACTCCCATTTAGAGATTTTATTAGATAGAAATGTGTTCAAACATTATCAAACCAGTTAAGCAAAATTTAGTTACAAAAAAGGCAATAGTAAAGAATTTGCTCCTGATATTTTAAATGACCACAGTAACCCTTACTAGCTTGTCTGAGAACATTTGTGGTTAAAGATTTTTTTAAAAACCATAATATTTATTATGAACATTACTGTATGCCCTTGAAAGCAGACCTTTTATTTTACAAGGCAATTGTCTGCTAATTTACTTTAACATATTATTTTAGGTGAACTTCTCTTAATTTCTACTGAAACAGTATCTGAATGAGTCATACCTTTGGAGAGAGAGTCACGCCCATTTCATGCAGAATCAGCTACAATAAAGGTAAGTCAGCCAATAAAGACTTCTTGTGACTAATTCTTCTGTGAGTATGAAAGAAGAAGAGAGTGTATCCTTGTACTTCTTTCTTAACTTTAGGATTAGAACATTGAAATGAGAGCTCATGTGGAAAGTTGTTTTATGATTCATAAAGTGTGGTTGTGAGTTTCCATTGTTTGGACCTTGAGATTTCAGTAATTAGAATCTCAAGTCCACAGAGTATGATTTACTGTTCTTTATACCTGCGATTTTCCCTCTAGAAGTGTGAATAAGCCATCTAAAACCAAATACATACAGAAAAAAAAACAGAGGAAGATTTTTATTCTAAGGCTTTCAGGAATAAAAAGATGATGGGATTTCTAAGGAACATTTTATTTACTTTTATTTCTAGAGATGATGCATTAGGTCAGTTGGTCAGAATATGAAACCTGAGTCTTGGGTTTGCCCTGTGTGGTCCTAATGGACAGGTAGATGCCCACATATGTGATTTGGAAGGTAAATGTCCCTTCAGGAAACACTCCACCTCCTGACCTGAAATGAAATTTCATTTTGTTTTCTAAGTCAGCAGATATTTAAGATACATACTCCAAGGAGGAGAACAAAGCATTTTCTGTGATTTATACTTTGCTGTGAATTAATTTTTAAAACAATTAAAAACTTTATTAACTAGTTATGATCACATTTTAAAGGAAATAGGAAGTAATTATGAAAACCTTTATTGTTGTATCTGACTCTTTGTGACCCCATGAACTGCAGCACGCCAGGCTTCCCTGTCCTTCACTATCTCCCATATTATATTCTGGAAATAAGGTAATAAAATATGCAAAGGTAAAAACAATTTAACTTCCTTCTATTTTATATTGAGTCAACTGGCTTTTGTAAATAAAATTCCTTTTCGCCTGGCTCCATAAATCCTGTAAAACTGTAAAGTGAGGTCATTTTCTTCGTATAGTAATTACTGTGCTACCAGCATCTCCTCACATGTCTCCTACTGGGTCAGTAGCAGCATTCTTTTTATGCTGATTGCTGATTTTCAAGTATAACTACTTTTTTCCCCCACCTAAAGCTACCTGGCTGCCCTGTTCTACTTGATGGAAATGACATAGTTAGAACTCTTGTGGGAAAAAAAGCCTTCCATTCTGTCCTTTTCTAAGGAGGCCCAGCTGAAAAATTCCAATAATCTGGTGATTTCCATCAGTTTGGCTACAAGATCACAATTTGATATGAATGAATTCATCTCTATTTGCTTGTGTATTCAGAGGAATTTCTAGTGCCATGTAGGGTATACAGGACAGGCTCTGTGGCTAAGGTGAAAGATTAGCAAAAAAGAAATCATGCACCCACAATTTGGAGTCACAGGAAGAGAATTGGCTTAGTTAGTTCCTAATTCTACCTTTGATCAACAGATTACTTTTCAGCCTGTTTGAGCATCTGTAAAACAGGATTTTGGATCAGGTAATCTAGAAGTTTTGAGTTTGTTTGGTTTCAGTGGTTTTGTATGTCACCCTCATAACTTTCTGAGTTTAGTTCATTTTGAAGATTGAAAAAAGATTCTTTTATGTCAGATCTCCATGAGTACTTCTATTAACATGTCCTAAGGGCGTTCTGTGTTTTGTGTGTGTGTGTTTGTGGTATAGGGGATCTATTTCCCTGACTGGTGATCGAACCCAGGCCCCCTGCATTGGGAATGTGGAGTCTTAGCCACTGGACCTAAGTACATTCTTATTACTTCTTGACAGAAATTTCATGAAGCAGGGATGGTTACTATCTCCATAAGAGTAGTCCAGAGAGGTGTGAAAAGTTGAAGTAACTTGCCAAAGACACACAGCTAGTAAGTGATGAAGCTCTGATTTAAACTCAAGTAGTTTGTCTCCAAAACCTGAAGTCTTAACCATTAACTTAAACACACAATTGAAAACAAAACAAAAACATTTTTAATTTATCTTTTGTTAATTATTAAAATATATGTTCCATCTATTGATTGACTAGATGGAATGAAATTTTAAATTTTTTTCTTAGACTTTCCTAATAAGTTTTGATTTTTCACCACTAGCAGATTTTCTTTGCTTGACAACTCATAGTTTCCTATCAAAATAATTCAACAACATCTCCCGACTTGTTCTTTCAGTGGAGACATCCTTCTCTAACCAAGGTTGGCAAAATGGTAATAGCATGCATAGGCTTGTTCTGGAGGCCTGGGAGAATCTTTGATTCCTAGAATAGAAGGTCTTATGTCATCCTGACAGCATATGCCTTTGTTGTTAGTTTGCAATTTGAAAGAATATTCAAAGACCAACACAAAGAGGGCCCATGAAAGTGTGTACAGAAAAAGTGGCTAGTTAGAAAATCAGCTTAGATTTCAACCACTAGCAGCCATAAATATCTTCTGAGGAAGAATCCATAGCAGTTTATAACAACTTAGAGGAAAGGGAAGATACAGAAAAATATTGTCAAAAGATGTTGGACTAAGGGTTTATTGTATATTAAAAATTTTTGACATACAAAAAAGTTGTAATATTTAATATATACAACTTGACGAGTTTGGGATAAGTATAAACCATGAAACCATTATCATAATCTATACCATAAACTTATGTATCACCTTCAAAAGTTTCCTCCTACACTCTTTTTATTACTGTTACTTTGTGCATGTGACAAGAATACTTAACATAAGACTTACCCTCTTAAGAAAATTTTAAGTATACAATACAGAGTTGTTAACTATAAGCTTTATGCTAAAAAAAAAAAAAAAGCTTTATGCTACACATTAGTCTGTAGAACTTATTCATCTGGTACAACAACTGAAACTTTGTACCCATTGACTACTATCTTCATTTCCTATTACACATGTTTTTACTAATCAAAAGTTGTGGGTGTCCTCCCTGGATAAGCATAATTAAGATTAGTTAAAAAAAGATAAAAGTTCTGTCAAACAAGGCCTCTTCATTGTGTCTTACTGAAAGAAATTTAGGTGAAAAATCTGGGTGATTCTTTTCTTTTTAATTATGCATCTAGAGAGCAGATTCCTTGTATGGAAAAAACTTTGTGTCTGCAGCACCACTAAACATTAGTATTTGGTCCATGGGTCTAAGAATGAAAGACACTGCTTCAGCTATACCAAGCTACATGGTTACTGGTGGCAAATGCATGTGCTTGTGGTGCATGTGTATATGTGTGTGTATGTATGTATGTTTCTCCTTGTAGTTAGGACCATAACAATCAGTACTAGTGAGTAGGACTTGGAAGGCATGACTTAGTTAATCTCACATTTTGTGTTTAAATACCCAATTTTGGTTTAGTAACAATGGCTCCTTGCAGGAGCATAAACCATATCATTATGCCATTTACATAAATCCAGGATTACCTGATTCTGTACTGCTTTATAATTAAGAAAGTTCTTTGCAATCCTCTTTTGATTATGAAAGAATATAAATATTTCCTCTACCTTCTGCAGAAATGAGGACATACTTATTTGGTATCAACATTTTGCTTTTATCATAATTCGATGCTCTGTTTTTATACAAAATTTATTGCTTGCTAACTTAATAGTGACAAATTCAGCCCACATAAAACATCAGGGATATCCTGAGGCATAAAATTAAAAATAAGGTGGTCCCATATCCTTCATGGGAATAAAGATATAAGTAGAATTGGCTTTAAATAGTAAAATATTTGCTGTAGTTGTTAAAAATGTGTTGTTTCCCACAAATCATGTAAACACTGACGTGGAAGGACTCATTTAAAGTTATACAGAGCGAAGTAAGCCAGAAAGATAAAGACCATTACAGTATACTAACACATATATATGGAATTTAGAAAGATGGTAACGATAACCCTATATGCAAAANATTTTATAATTTTCATTGTTTTCTTTCCCATTTTTCATGTTCTACTTAAAGCCTTAGATCTGAAAATAAACAGATTATTCTCAGAAACTAATGAGTATTAATATTGCTGAATGATATAGACCAGCTTCTACATTTGTGTCACTTATTCTATGGTCTTAAGGAAGTTACTTTGATTCTCTGAGTTTCTGTTTTTGTGGCTGTAATCTCAAAGTTACCATAAGAGATAAATTAGAATATAACTCTCTTGGCTGTCTGGTAGACCTCAAAAGTGTCATTCTTCCTTTTTTGGTAACTGCATCCTTTTGCATTTTAGACCATCATTATGTTGAGTTTTAATTATACCTGCACTGTACTTAGATTTGTTTGTTTTGCATTTGTTTAAAAAAAAAAGGCAATATATAAAAGAAAAAGAAAGCAAAGACACCAACCTGTGGAATGGTCTGTGTCTTGTCTTGGAGGGGATCATGGTGAACTCTGGATCAGGCAAAACAGAAGGAATCTCAGTATTCTTTGTGGAAGATGTGTTGTTTCTGGCACCTGAAATTTAAATGATTACCTTCTTTTCTCATCAAATATCCCCCTTACGTAAAAAAAAGGTCTCAGACTATGTTGTTGAGCAAGCGCTAAATCATGTGATCTCTGATTCACAATTACTCTTGTAGATTCAGTAAAGCAGTTGGGAAAATACTGGATTGCCAATAACAGGAAGGAAAGATCCTTCACTTTTACTTAATTGCTAGTTGTTTCTTAATCACCAGATACATCGAAGCTAGTCAGTTGAATGTATTCATTTACACCTTACTTGACTTTTGAAAATTAGAGAGGAGAAACTGATCTTGCTGTTTTTATTCCTTCACCTTCTAGGAATAAGAGGAACTGGTGATATTTTTGGAATTTACCTGCGTGGTTTTCATTTTCCTGGGATTGATCTAGGACATCTGAGTTAAGCCATCCACTTTTCTTCACTCAACATTCACTGGAATCCACTTTCTGCTTACCTTACCCCAGGTCCAAGTTGAATTGTCTGTATTTAAGAATGAGGAGGGTCAGCGAAACCAAGATGTGAGGCTCTGAAGGGACTTGTTTTGTGGTATCCCTTCAAAGGAAGACAAAAATAACAGACATTTGTTGTTGTTGTTCAGTTACTAAATTGTTTCTGATCTTTTGTGACCCCGTGGACTGTAACCTGCCAAGCTCCTCTGTCCGTGGGATTTTCCAGGTGAGATTACTGGAGTGGGTTGCCATTTCCTTTTCCAGGGATCTTCCCAACCCGGGGATCAAACCTGTGTCTCCTGCTTGGCAGGCAGATCCTTTGCCACTGAGCCACCTCACACATTTACGGGCAGACAGACTCACTGCAAGGGCTGATGGCTGTCACCAGTGTCATCTTACATTTTTGTCATCATGTTAGGCTAGAAACCTTACCTTCTCCTCCACCTTTTCTCTCTTGAGTCTTCATAGGGTGTCAACATTTTCGCCCGAGAGACCATTCCAAATTACCCAATAGATCATAAATGAGTTAAATCATCCAGTTAATAAAAATCTGCCCTGACCTCATCCAACATCTATTTCCACCTGAAGAAGAGATCCCAAGTCCCCATGTACTTCCTGTTGGGGAGGATTCAGAAAAAGTGTCAGCTTTAAAAAAAAAAAAGGGAAAAATACTGATAAAAATACACATGCAATCACTTTCTTACATCATATTTCTTAACAGTTATTAACTGCAGAGAGTAGTTCAGTTTTTGCTAAATGGTTAAGGAAGAACTCATAAATTTGTTGCCAAACAGTTTTATTATAACAATGTTACCACTCTATAAGTTTTAATATATACTGTTTAAAATTTATAATACATCAAGTAACAAGATAGTTTTTAAAGAGTTTTTCTGCTTAAAACATTTTTTATTTTTAGTGAAAAAATACAGATACATTTTTGCTTTGAATTTAATTTTACATGGCAGATTAAAATTACAGGTCCTCTTAGATAAGAGTGATCTACTTTTCTTTCAAAACTGCTTTAATTTCACTTTCCCCCTTATTTGACTTTACTACTGTGGCATAGTTTCCTCTGCAGTTTGGCAGTGCAACAAAATTCTCATTTCATGAGTTGGATTTTAAGAGGAAATATTAGAATACCTTGAGGATCCTGAAAACACTTCTGAACTTGGAACAAGGGTTATTCTGATTATTAGTTTAATTCTCACCCATAAACAGAGTCACAAGTCAACTCTGTGTGTTCTAGACCCTAGAGCAAGCTTCTGTTGAGAATAGGCCCCAGAGGTAATAGCCAGGCAACTTCCTCAGGAACTGCAAGACTGCTCCAAAGGGTCTAGTTCCTCTCGCCTCAAGACGGGCACCCTGCAGACCTTGTTGCTATAGCAACCTTGTCTTGGAGGAAGAGATTGCCTGTGCTTCTTGGGCTTCCTGGTAGTCAGGACACCAGGGAGAGGGAAGAATTCTAGATGTAAGGACATTTTAGGGGGTCTCTTCCCCACCAGGAATCCTCAGGAGTGCCCCCTTCTGGGTTAAAACACAAACACTTTATACTTTGTCTTTCATCTGAAAACAAATATAGATTTGAAATATGGCAAAAACCAGAAAAGAGTATTTTATATACAATTAGAGATAATAGAGCCAAACAATGACCTTGTAGAGACTCGGCTAAGACAATAATGTTAATGAGAGGTAGGGTGCTGTCTATGGGCTAAAGGATGAGGACCTTGAATTATCAGAAATGATTTGAAGAACTACATTGTCATCAGGGTAACACACGTGAAATGACATATTCTAAGCCATCACTAACCTAACATGGTTTTACTCAAGGATTAAATTGTGGTAGCAGCTTCATTTAAAAGGAGTGAGGCTTAATAAAATTAAGTTACTCATAATCTCTTTCTATATCCCTTTTTGACCTGAAACACGGCATATAATACACATTCACAAATTTCACTATGTGTTACTCTAGTCAGAGGCCTCTTTTGCTTGTGAGACAAGCCGTATTTTGTATTCCTAGGAAGTCTATAGACATTGTTAACATGATAAATATCACTACACATCATATGTAAGTTACATCTACCTCCTAACATTTAAAAAATAGAGAGTAATTTTCAAAGACTATTAACACAGGATTGCTGTTATTGAGAAGTGTAGGGAGGGGCTTAATGCAAAATATTTTCTTTAGGTAGATCCTTTCAAGGTGATTTAAAAAAACACAAAAATATTTACACCATGCTGAACTTTCCTAAATTTCCTATGATACTTCTATATTTCAAAACTGTCTTATTGTGAGAGTATGAGGAATATAGATGCAGCAGGTTTAATGTGTAAAACAGTACCCTTAGCTTGAGCAAAAGATGTCCCTAGGGTCTCCCAACACCAAGAAGATGGCAGAAGTTTAAATGCAACTATTTTCTTTTTCCCAAGCAGTTCAAAATGCTTTAGCAAAGACTTTATGATTCTTACATCATTACTAATGATGTAAGCAAAGGTGAAAAATTTAAGAACTGGGGGTCTTGACTCCAAGTCCTTAATCCACTAAAACACACTGCATTTGAAGTTTAAAAATTATTAGGAAATTTTCCCACTGAATATGATCTTAAGATATTTCGGAAAACATTTAAGATCTACTAGGACTTGAATTTGAGAAGTAAGAGTGACCACACATCCAGTGTGGGGACATAAACTAGACAATTTAGACTGTAATCATGACCAGTTTATGAAAGAGTAGCAAATAAGTGCCAAATCAGACCAATACTGTGAGATTTGCTGTGCTATTTTGAATAATTTGGTTCAAGTATCTGTATTTGGCCAGTATGTAATTCCAGTTCACTCTGCTTATATCAGACGGGAACAAGGATCTTCTGTAAAGATCTTACTGCCTGATCCTCGTAGCTCTGTAGGACCATGTAGGTTGCCAGTAATACTAGGAATCGGACAAATCACTCTTTCCGTCACTATCACATTTTGCGTGAGAAGTGGATCAAAAACAGCAGCGGGAGGTTGCACAAGGGAACCAGAAGAAGCTGAGTAAGTCTCCGTTACCAGATAGCTACCATGCTGCAAAGGGTCAGCGATGGGAACGGCGGGCTGGAGGACAGAGCTGGAAGCAGACAGTGCAGATGCTCCCTGGCTGCCTGACAAAGTCTGGTACCTAACAGACTCTGACTGCTGGACTTGAACGTGTTGGCCACAGGCGTCAACCCTAGAACTGCTGTCTTTGGTATGCAGCTGAGAGCTTTTGGTTTCATCATCCATCCCGAGGCTTATCTCGGCCAGCTTTTTAAATTTGGGGCCAAGTGAGTCCAAGAAGCTCTCGTCAAAATCATCAGCAATAAAACTGCAACAACCCAGGGAGCCGACGGGAGAACTGGGGGCATCGATTCCTTCATTATCATAGATCAGCAAGCAGTCATTTGCTTCCTGGCCATCGTCTTCGTCTGCACAGGCAAATGCTTTCTAAAGGTGGAGAGAAGAGGAGAAAATGAACTATAAGAGACACTCGGGGGAAGGATGTGATACCTTTCGTAGAACTCAACATTTGATCGTGACTATGTGATTGAGGTAATCCATCGAAGTCATGTACGGATGTGAGAGTTGGACAGTAAGGAAGGCTGAGCACCAGAGAATTGATGCTTTTGAATTGCAGTGCTGGAGAAGACTCTTGAGAGTCCCTTGCACAGCAAGGAGATCAAACCAGTCAATCCTAAAGGAAATCAACCCTGGATATTCACTGGAAGGGCTGATGCTGTGCTCTTTGGCCACATGATGCAAAAACCAACTCACTGGAAAAAACTCTGATGCTGGGAAAGATTGAGGGCAGGAGAAGGGGGCGACAGAGGATGAGATGGTTGGATGGCATCACTGACTCAATGGACATGAGTTTGAGCAAAATCAGGGAGATAGTGATGGACAGGGAAGCCTGGCGTGCTGCAATTCACGGGGTCCCAAAGAGTCAAATACGACTTATCGACTGAACAGCAACAACAACAATAGAAGTGAGGGCATACTCCATACCAGCAATCTTGTTACAGAAGTTATCTGTGTTTGGAGAATGATGCAATTGACATTCCTTCCAACTTGAGTCTGTTGTAGGCTCATATTTGAACTCTTGAGTTTTAAGACTTGCATTGACATGGACTTAGCCATACAGAGCAAATGTGTACGGAGCCTGGAGGTTATTTGCTGGGCCCTCTGTGAGGGTCCCTGTGTGTGTTTGGGTCATTGTGTGGGGCAGGGTGCAGGCATCCTCACCATCTGAGGCAGCTCTCACCAGCCTGGGGCCTTGACCCAGACACCGTAACCCTCGTGAGAGTCTGATCCCTACCTGGGAGTCTGATCCTTCCTGTCAGTCTGTCCTCAAACACTGTGTCAGCCTTCATCTGCGTGGCCACCAGGCCAAATGCCATCACTTACGGCTCTGATAGCGCAGCTGTAGGTGAGATCGTTCTGGTGATGCACCACCCAGGAGGCAAGCTACCTGCCTCCCAGTGTCCTCTGTCCTTGCATCCCTGTCCCTTTTTTTTTTTTAACTTTTATTTATTTTTTTAAATTTTTTTTTTCATTTATTTTTATTAGTTGGAGGCTAATTACTTTACAAGTCCCTTTGTAGATTCTCTGCTTCCTGACACTTCACCTCATCTTGGACCACATCCTTGTTTCCCCTTTTATGTTTGGGTCATTAATGTTTCTTCAACATTTTTGGACATGGACTCCTTGACAATGTGAAGAATACTATAACCCTCTCGGAAAAATGTATGCTGATGTATTCTGACATACTTCATGGTACAGGAAATGAGAAATAACTGCTTTGTATGTCTAAAGAGGATGCCGCTGATCGAAAAGCAAAGGGTTTTGCTTCCTCCCAGTGGGAGGAAGGAGGTGCCATATTCTCTCATTTTGTGTCTACCCATCCCTTCTTTCTTTTGACTAGTAGCTGGATTTTGGCAGCCACCTTAGGTTATCCTTGTTATTTTAACAGGAGCCTTTACCTCTTTTTTCTTGTCTTACCAAGCTGCAAAAGAACCAAACTGTGCAACTGAAGTACAGTCAGGTAGAAAGATCTCTAATGTAAACAAGATAACAAAGCCACAGCGTTTTCCACCAGATTACCTGAGAAAAGTAGGAGTCCAGGAATTTCATGTTTATTGCCCCTTCCCCAAAGTCCTTGTTGGTTC